CCTCTGACGTCAGCTTTGACTCCCTCCTCTGCCCCAAGGCTCTAGTCCAGAGGGACAGGCTCAGCACTCTGGGGAGCAGGCAATCCACACTCCTGCTGACCCTTGACCAGCAGGAAGAAGCCGACAGAAAAATGTCCCAGTCACCTGTCCTGCAGGTGCACAGTTCTGGAAGGCCCTGTGCATAGTTTTCCTGGACCCCGGCAGACTCCTGCACCTTGCCTCTCCCATTGCTGTCGCATGCTGTACTCCGGGGTTCTCTTCCCAGTATGTGACCTCATCTCGGCTCAGCTCTTGGGGAAACCAGGCTAAGATTGCCCTTTTCTCATCTTTAAAACCTTCTCAACAGCACATCTTTCTTTAGCTATACCAAATCACCTGCAGTCCTCATTCATTCATTCATTCATTCATTATCACATTCATTGAGTACCTACTGTACCACAGGCAATCTTGTAGGTGCTGGGGGTACATTTATGAAGAAAAAAGGCAAAATCTCTGCCCTCACCAGCCTTATATTCAAGTGAGGAGAAGCAATGGGAAAGCAAACTGAATTGTGAGTTAGATGGTGAGACGTCTACAGAGAAAAATAAAGCAGGGAGGGCGATGGGTATGGATGGTAGGTTAGGTTGTCTGGAAGCACATGCTGGGGTCGAGTTTGGGGCAATGCCTGGGAAAGGAAGGGGGAAGAAGCAGGACTGGGCGGAGGGAGAACTTGAACTGTGATGCAGGTCCAGCAAAGCCTTGGGGGGAGTTCTGGAGCACGTACAGCTGTCAAGAGTGTCCGGCCTCAGGCAGAAGCCACCAGGCCCTCCAGTGCCCTGGGAAGTTGACCTCAGGGGAGGCTTTATACAGCAAGGTGGACCCTTGGGGAACTGGAGGTTGTCTGGTGATTGCTCTTCCTATAGATCCTTCTGGAAAGAGGATCTGGGTGGTGCAACTCTGTGTCTACCATGTAGGACATGCTCAGGGAAGGCTGCACAGAGTAACGACTTGGAGTTCAAGGAAACGAGTCCTGCAGACACGTAGAGGAAGAGTCTTACAGAGGGAACAGACGTGCAAGACGCAGATCATGGTAGCACCTGAGACCTCGAGAAGCAGCAAGGAGCCCAAAGAGGCTGGAGCAAGGATGAGCAGGAGAGCAGTCGTGGGCCAGATCTATGAGGCCATGAGAGGACTCCACCTTTTACTCTAAGCAGGAGGGAGACGCTGGAAGGATGAGAGTGGTGGGGACATTCCTGAGGCAGGCAGACTCTGGAGCAGGAGAGTCCATGAGGAGTCCATTGCTGGACTTCCAGAGAGGTGAGCGAAGGACTAGGCACGTGATCCTGGCCAAATGCTCCAATGCAGCTCTAATGAACACTAGGGGCAAGTTAACCCGGCAGCTTTCGCTGGTGCCTGCTGCCCTCTGGTGGATATACAGGAGATTACCCAAACCTGCTTCCAGCATTTTGTCTTTTGCCAAGGTCTTTGGATTCTGTGGTTCACCTTCATCTTGGGGCTACTAGAAGACTCTCTTGTCACAGATGACAGAGGTGTCTGGCAGCATTTGGAGAAAACAATCAACTTAGAGACAGGCAGGCAAAGGGAAACTATGACTTAGATGCAACAGTGTTTGGAGGGGGCCGTGCAATGTTTGTGAACAGTGACGGACACCAGCACCTGAGGCAGAGAAGTGGGGCTGAAGGACGCGTTAGGGCTGGCAGGATGCAGTAGCGTCAGTGCTGTTCCCAGAAGGAGAACAAGTTGGAGACACAGGGTGCCTGCCAGCCGGCTCTGAATTCCAGGGCACAGTTCCTGCTGGGGAGGGAAGGGAATGGAGCTGGGAAGGCCCAACCCACGGAAGGAAAGTGGACACACAGAAGGCCTGTAGATGAAACAAAGCTTGAGGACTGGTGGGGTGAGGATGTGAGAAGACTGGACAAACAGGAGCGCTGGGAGCCATGCAGCCCCTGGGACCGCTGCTGCCTTTGCTGCTGTTGGAACCCAGGAGCCTGCACTCTGCTTCCGCTGCTGAAACTCCCCACCACTGCTCCAACCGGGCCACCCACTGATGCTGACACTGCCAGAAGCAGGAAAAGAACGGCTTCTGCCTTCTTCCTGCCTTCCAGTCTACTGCGAGCCTCCCTTGCAGAATAACGCTGGAAGCCAGCTGGAGAGCAGTCTGGCAGGTGTGGTTCACAGGCTTGCAGCCCCCTTCAGTGCAGAGGAGGGCACTTCAACCCAGGGGAAGCATCAGCTTCCTCACTACCATGTATCGCTTTTGTTCCTCCAGTCCTTCCAACACCCTTTGACCCAATTCCTACATCAAATCCTTCTCCGTTGGACTTTTCTATGTTTGCATCGGTCTGTTCTAGGACTAGGGGCAAATCCAGATATTTGGGGATCTGAGGCTCAAACAAAGGCGGGGGAGAAATGCTCTCTAAGGAAAGTAATACAACATTATAAATAAAAATTAGCTTTATTACCTTCACAGCAAATTTATCTTTGCCTGTGACCACACAATTCCATTCCAGATACATACCCTAGACTCTAGGGCCTAGAAATTTTTTTTTTTTTTTTTTTTGGTACGTGCCCGTAGCAAGAACTGAAACTGGGACTCTCTGGTCCACAGGCTGACGCTCCAACCACTGAGCCAAACTGGTTAGGGCTAGAGAAATTCTTGTACATCTGAACCAAAAGGCATGGTTAAGTATGCTCACAGAAGTATCCTGTAGTAGAATGGAACTAAAACACATCACTATTGATAGGAAAATGGATAAATTTAGGAAGAGTCAATATTTTATATTAAAAAGATACCTATCCCCCTCAATCTGAAGATTCGTTAAGTACCAATTAAATTATAGCCAGGTTAAATGGAATATGCTAGTTCTAAAATTGATTTGTAGCTCGGCTGATGTAGCTCAGTGGTTGAGCGTTGACCCATTCACCAAGAGGTCACTGGTTTGATTCCCAGTCAGGCCACATGCCCAGGTTGGGGTCCCAATCCCCAGTGGGGGGCATGCAGGAGGTGGCCTATTGATGTTCTCTCATAGATGTCTCCATCTCTCTCTCTCTCCTTTCTCCCTAAAATCAATAAATAAAAATTATTTTTTAAAAATTGATTTATGCCCTGGCCGGTTTGGCTCAGTGATTAGAGTGTTGGCCCACAAACCTGAGAGATCTGGGTTCGGTTCCCGCTAAGGGCACGTACCTCAGTTGCAGTTTGTCCCCAGCCCCAGTTGGGGTTGTGTGGGTGGCAACCAATCAATGTGTCTCTCTCACAGCGATGCTTCTCTCTCTTCCTCCCTCCCTCCCTCCCTCCCTCCCTCCCTCCCTCCCACTCTAGCTGAAGACAGATGGAAAAATATCCTCGGGTAACTACATATATATTTTTGGTTTTCCTTTGTAGGAACGAGATTATGTCCTAGCCAGGTCTTTTATAATTCTGGGAAGCAAAACACCATAATGCCTCACCCAAAGCCATTTTCCTCTTACCCCATTTAGATGGCAGTGTGTGTGTGTGTGTGTGTGTGGGGGGGGTGCTTTGATATTCTTATTACCCAAGGACTACCGATGCTGACAGTCATGCATTCCAGGAGTGGGGAAATTGTATTTTTTTTCTATCCTCTTCTTTTAGTGGTAAAATAGTTGAGGAAAAGGGGAACAGTGAGTTATGGGAGTAGCTAGCTATGGCTGTTTTATAATTGTTGAAAAGTGATCCCAGGTCTTGGTAGCTCTTGGAGACTTTAATACAAGGAGGGGCAAAAGTAGGTTTACAGTTCATATGGAAAATAATACAATACTTAATTTTAATACAAGAATGAAGTGTTTCATATACTCATAACTGTAAATCTACTTTTGCCCCATCCTGTACATCAGGGGGATTCTCATCACCTATAAGAAACTAGTAGGTTCATTTACTATTTTGTCTAACCTATACACATTGTTTTCTCTGCATACCTAAGTATACCTACTGTAAGAATGTTCATTTTTATTCTTTCATTCAGACACGTGTTTTCTTAATCTGGGCACTAAAGGGATGTGTGAAACACTGTTAACATTTTTAGTAATACCTTCAACTAGGGATCATTGTGTTTAACTTCCCATAGGAAAGCTTGAATAAAATAAATGTTGTCTTTTTATATGTGAAAAAATAAATAAATTGGGTACTCAGGCCCTGGCTGGTATGGCTCAGGAGTTAGAGCACTGGCCCTCAGACTGAAGGGTCTCGGGTTCGATTACTGGTCAAGAGCACATACCTGGGTTGCATGTTTTTCTCTTTCTCTCCCTCCTTCCCTTCCACTCAATCAAAAACCAATGGAAAAAATATCCTCTGGTGAAGATTAACAAAAATAAAAAATAGGGTGCTCAGGGCAGGTTTCACTGATAAAGTGACATCTGAGCAAAGACCTGAAGGAAGTGGGAGATTTTTGCATTAGCTGAGTATCTGGGGGACAAAACTTTCCAGAAATGGGGAAGTTAGCACAAGGGGGGCATACAGAGTGCGCTCCAATCACATTTTCTTAGTGAGCCTACCCTGACAGCCTCTTTAATGCGAAAACCTACCCCTACCCCACTGAACGTTTCAGTATGTAATTCCATGTTTACGATGTTTTCCGCTTTGCGCGGGCGCGGGCATCTTGGCCCCTCTCCTTCCCCAGCGTAGCCCAAGCTTCTAGCACAGGGGAACACAGCGTGAGCTCTCCGGCACGTGTGGAGGGACGGGCTGGACTGCAGGGAGGCCCGGGGCTGGGGAGAGCGAGACCTAGGGAAATAAGAAGAGACCCGACTGCGTGGGGACTTGAGGTAGCTGCTGCGAGGGCTCACACTGCGCGGAACCGTAGGGAGTGACCCGAACCTGTTGCAGCTGCGGGCTGCAAGCCGGCCAAGAGGTCGGCGGAACAGCGGCCGGAAGCGCGTCATCGCGCGTGCGCCGGCAGCGGCCCGTTGAGGCGCGCTCCTGATTGGCTGCGGCGGGCGCAGACGCGGTGTTGTGCGCGCGCGCTCCTTTCCCCGAGCTTGTGAGTGCTGTCTGCTCCCCGTGTACCGTCGTCTCCGCGGCAGTTTTAGTTCCCGGTCCCGAGCGCTGGCCCCCGGAGCTCGGAATGTTCCCAGAACTCAATAACCTTCTCAATACCGCCCCTGACAAGGTGGAGCAGGTAATCAGTCGCGCGGTGGAGAAGAGAGTGGTCCCGGGAGCGTGGCGGAAGAACGCGTCCGGGACCGAGTGCGCCGACTGGTGGGAAAGACGCGTTGTCCTAGGCAAACGGCGCCTGGGAGTTGTAGTCCAAGGAGGGCCGACCCGGGGCTTGGGCTGGACCCCAGGACCCGCAGACGGTGGGCTTCTGAACCTTCTCGTGTCTCCTCAAAGGCCGTATGTGCCCTTGAAAATTCTAGGACGCATGTCCGACGTGTGGATGGGCTTATGTTCACAAACGTGTACCGGGAGCCCTGTGGGGCTCACTGGGGTGGGGGTGCCGGCGCCTAGGGGAGGTTGCCGGAGGGGAGGGGAGAGGAGAGGCGGGTTTGATTCTCCACCCTTCACAGAGGACCACCTTACCCTCCCCGAGTCTTCCTCTGGCTGGGGAGCACTCGGCAGGTCGCAATGAATGTGCTGCTCCTCCTCTGACTCTTCCTTCTCATGGTGTGTAATAGTGGTCTTCCAACCTGCTCTCAGTACACTTTTGGCACCACAGCCTCGCCACTCTAGTTTTTCCACTCTTCTACCCGCATTCGGGGGTACCTCGAAAATGTTCACATTTTAGCCCAGGGTTTTCCTCTTCCAGGAACATATCTGGTTTAGTGTATAACCTTGGTCTTCCTAATGAAATGGTAAGCTCCTCCAGGCAGCCAAGACATCATGTGTGTAAAACCTTTTTATGACCCCACAGTACCTGGCAAATTGTAGCTTTCAGTAGGTCCTTGTGGATTTTATAGTTGCCCAACAGTTCTTGTCTGCCCAGGCCTGTTGATGGTGCTTGCTACCTTACTGATTACCACTGGCACCACCAAAGTCCTCAGTCCAGGGTCAGAGTGAGGGAATGAGTGGAGGATCAAAGTGGGATGACAGCACTGGGGGTAACCCTCAAGGTCTGATAGTGTGATCTTTCATGTTTTGTAAGTGAAAAATGTCACAATAGCACATGGGTGGTGTGTTAATACCATTTGATCTTGACCTTCCCTTTCACTGACAAGGAACTAGATGGCTGGAGCAGGGCAGCCAGGCATTGCAGAGACCATTTTTAGAGGTCTTTCCAGGGTTCTCCATGATCAGAGCTCTGCTAGAAGGAGTGTCCAGGGCCATTTGGAGGAGAACTTTGTTAGTGGAGGTCTCTGTCAAAAACTGCTTTTTTCCTCTTTCCCACCCTATAGGGCAGAATTGACATCAGAATTAGAAATAGCGAGGAAGCTCGATCAGATGACTTTTTTGAAGGGCCCTTCCAATCTTGGCAGGTTGTGATTTTTGTTGGATTCTAATGGTAAAAGCTTCCTTTGTTCAGTATCTCATTCTCCCCAAGATTGGTCTCTGACTTACTGGCTGAGGAGTGAGGAAGAGAAGGGATTTTTATTCTCTATTTTGTTTGGGAAAGTGGAAGCTGAGATATGCTTGTCCATAATGAGTGACTTAATACTCATCACCTTAATTGTTCGTTTATTCATAATTTTGACTTTTTTTTGTTAATCTTAGTGTGTATTTGTTATATACGTGTATACATATGTATACATACATGTATTACACACACACACACACTCTTCAGGTATAGAAACATAAGGGTGGACCCTGGCCGGTTTTGCTCAGTGGTTAGAGCGTCAGCCTGTGGTCTAGAGAGACCCGGGTTCTGTTTCCACTAAGGGCATGTACCTCGGTTGCAGTTTGTCCCCGGCCCTTGTTGGGTTGTGCGGGTGGCAACCACTCAATGTGTCCCTTTCGCGTTGATGTTTTTCTCTCTCTCCCTCCGTCCCTCCCTCTCTCCCACTCTATCTGAACAAAAAATGGGAAAGTGTCCTCGGGTAAGGATATATAAAAAAAGAAGAAAGAAACATAAGGTGGACACAATTAACTACATTTATACAGCCAACTGACCTCTTTTCAGGGAGTCTTATTCACCTTTTTATGTTCCTCTTAACTTTTAGGGAAAACTGACTCTGCTCTGTGATGCGAAGACAGATGGCAGTTTCCTTGTGCACCACTTTCTCTCCTTCTACCTCAAAGGTATGGGACTCATTGATGCTACAGAAAAAGAAACCTAAGGACAAAAAATAAATCCTGTTTCAGGAAGTGATGGGAATAGTATTAACTAGTTGGGGCTTTGGTGTTTGGGTAGCCAGATGGCTGTTTATTAAGTAACAGGTTTCTGTACCATGTTGTTCCCTACCCAGTGCTGCCAAAACAGAGTAGGATGTGCTCACTGTATCCTTGCCCTACCTTCCCCTTCTCCATCCACTGTGCAGGTACTGCCTCTCTGTGGTCCTTATATGGACTCCTGTTTTCTTGCTCCTCAGTCCTTGTGTATCTTGAGATCTCTGGGCACTACACCCATTGACACTTTGCCCTGGCAATAATGTTTCCTAAAGAACACAGGGAAGAAAACAACATGGCCACTATAATTCACATGTGGAAATAGATAAGAAAATAGCCTAACAAAAAAGGATTCATTTATGAATTGATTCTCTTTGAGCCCCTACTGAGCCAGGCCAGGATAGTGACCTTTGGCACTCTATTTTTTTTATTGATTTTAGAGAGAGAGGAAGGGAGAGGGAAAGAGAGATAGAAAAATCGATGAGAGAGAACATAGATTGTCTGCCTCCTGCACACCCCCACTGGGGATTGGGCCCACAACCCAGGCAAGTGCCCTGATCGGGAATCGAACCGGCGAACTCTTGGTGCATGGACTGATGCTCAAACAGTGAACCACACTGGCTAGGCTATGTTGTTGTTTTTTAAAAAATCCTCACCCAAGGATATTTTTCCATTTATCTTTAGATAGAGTGGGAGGGAGGGAGGGAGAAAGAGAATGAGAGAGAGAGAAAGAAAGAAAAATTGACGTGAGAGAGACAGGCATCAGTTGGTTGCCTCCCGCATGACCCTGACCAGAGCTGGGGACAGAACCAACCAAGGTAGGTGCCCTTGACCAGAATTAAACCCGTGATTCTTTGGTCTGCGGGCCGACACTCTAACCGCTAAGCCAAACCGGCCAGAGTTTATTATTGATTTTTAGAGAGAGAGGATGAGACAGGGAGAGAGAGAGACATCAGTGTAAGAGAGGAAACATCAATCCCTTGCCTGCCGAATGCTTCCCAACCTGAAACCTGGGTATGTGCCCTGACCAGGAATTGAATTCACAACCTCTGAGTGTGCAGGATGACTCTCCGGCCAACTGAGCCACTTGGCCAGGGCTCCTTTGGCACTCTCAGTCACATAATTTACAACTCAGAACGTTACTTTCTTTTTCAGATGTTATTGTCAGCATAGAAAGAACAAGAGAATCTACAGATAAATTATTAGAATGAATTATGTTCAGTAAGGTCATTAGAGCTTTGTGTTTCCTTTATATTCTCTTGGATATAGGATCAGTTTAAAAAATTAATTTTAGCCCTGGCCGGTTTGGCTCAGTGGTTAGAGTGTCGGCCTGCGGTACAGAGAGACCCGGGTTCGGTTCCCGCTAAGGGCATGTACCTCGGTTGCAGTTTGTCCCCGGCCCTGGTTGGTCGTGCGGGTGGCAGCCACTCGATGTGTCCCTTCACAACGATGTTTCTTTCTCTCTCTCTTCCTCTCTCTCCCTCCTGCTCTATCTGAACAAAAAATGGAAAAATGTCCTCAGGTGAGGATAAAAAAAAAAAAATAATAAAAAAATAAAAAATTAATTTTATTGCTATACACCAACAACAAACAGGAAAATATAATTTTGTAAAGACCATAATTTATTTACAAGAGAGAAAAATAAGGTACCCAGCAATACATCTAACAGAAGTACATCTCAGAATCAATGAGAAAAGGTATGATTATTAAATATGAAAAAAAGTGCATCTTAGAATCAAATTGGGTGTGTTAGGTTGTAAGACCTCTGGGTCTCTAAGACCTGCCTTAATTCTTTTGTTTCCAGAGGTATGAACTATACAAGACTGGTTGTAAATAGAGAAATTATTAAAATCAATATATTTTGTTTTCCAGCTAATTGTAAAGTCTGTTTTGTGGCGCTTATCCAGTCCTTTAGTCACTACAATATTGTGGGACAGAAGCTGGTAAGTATTTTAGACCTCTGTAGTGAGGTCCCTGAGTAAGTGTGTGTGCCACGCACATGTGTGTGTGCCCTAAGGCTGGGCTTCCCTATTTGGGTTGCAGAGAGCTTAGCAAGGGAGGTAATAAGGAAATCGTGGGATCCTGAACCCTTTATCTGAAGGGGTTAGCCAGCATCCCGTTGTGTTTTATTAATTTACAGCCGATAGACCCAGATTTGTTAATTAATCAAACCCATCTCTACTGATTCTGGACCAGTTAAGGTTTTCTCCTCCTCAGTGTGGGCTTCAATCTTGGTCTTGCTGGGTTGGAGATCATAGCTTGGTCTGCCACCAAGTTGAGTGGCTCCCACTGTCTCTCCCTAAGTCTAGGGCTTAGGACCCAGATGTGGGGAAGGCACTTTGGTCACCTGCACTCATCTCATAGGTAAAGGCAGGCAAAAATGTGACGGCCAAGAAGCTGGTGATGGACTTACTGAGGTTTTTCTTTTCATTTTGATAGGCCAGCCTCAGAGAGGGAGAGAACCTGGTCACCCATCAGCAGTGATCTTTGAAATCCCAGTCTTACTGTTGGGCCGAGTCTTTGCCTTCTCTGATGCAGAGAAACAAATGAGAGGGTGAGAGAAGGGTAGACTCTTTCCCATTCTTTGCAGACAAGGAAGAAGTTCCTGTGTTAGAGGTCAGTACAAGTTCAGGGAGAGCAGTCATGTCAAGAACACATGTTACATTCTAGGTCTGTGAAGCATGTCTCTCTTGGCCTTAGCAGTGTTCCTGGGTGAGAAAGCTGTGTACTCTCACATCCAGATTGGCTGCTTTGTGTCTGTTACTTTGGAATCATCAACACAGCAGGGGTGGTGTGCACATTACTGGGTGTGCAAAGAACTAGAGTAAGCTTCCATACTCTACACTTTCATACCCTCTTGGTGAATTATTGTACTTACATGAGTAGAATGGCAATGAGCAAGAGCAAAGGTGATGATCAAGAGTCTTTCTTTCTGCCAGGGGCCACTCTTGGAGCTAATGGAGTTGCATAGTGGAGAACACTAGTGGGTAAATGAGAAATGGAGACCTGGTCTAGGGACATGTCACCTGTTTCTGCACAGCTAGAGTGGTGGTTGCACATTTATTTATTTATTTTTGTGGTACGTGCCCCTAGCGGGAACTGAACCCAGGACTCTTGGTTACACATTTATATTGTTTCGCCATTCCTAGGTGTTTGTTGAAATGCAGATTCTTGGGCTCTGGTTCTGGAGGTCTGGAGTGGGTCTCAGGGATCTGCATTTAATTAAATTAATTAATTAATTAATTTACTTATTTAGAGAGGAAGGGAGAGAGACAGAAACAGCGATGAGAGAACATCGATTGGCTGCCTCCTGCATGCCCCCCACTGGGGATGGGACCCACAACCCGGGCAGGTGCCCTGACCCGGAATCAAACCAGTGACCTCTTGGTGCCACATTGGCCGGGCAGGGATCTGCATTTTAATTAGGCATCTCAAGAGATTTTTAACTGGGTTGTTCATGAACAACCGTGTTTAAGAAGTTCTGGTTAGAGCAAGGGTCAACAAACTGCAGTCTGCACTCCCTTTGTTTTGTAAATAAAGTTTTATTGGAACACAGCCACACTCATTTGTTTATGGATTGTCTGTGGCTGCTTACAGTCTACAATAGCAGAGTTGAGTAGTTGCAACAGCCACTGTCATTCTCCCACACTCTTACTGTTATTATTTACTTAGGATTTAAAATTTAATTTTATAAATACATGCATTTAAAATAAAGGGAATCTATGGTACTGTTGTAAATTTAAAATCCGTGCTGGGTAATCATAAAAATAAACATATAAGCAAAATATGTAAGTTCTTTATTTTAAAAGTGACAATTAAATGTAAATGCACATCTGAAAACAATGGGCATTATGGGTTGGGAATGCCCAGGGGAAAAAAGACATGGGCCCCGTACGGAGGTTGGACAGGTGCATATCTGCAGGGTTTGGAATGTGTTCTGTGTCCTCTTGGGAGCTTGAGCCTCTCTGCGGGGTTCCCCTGCCAGGCGCAGTAACTCATTCTTCTTTTGGTTGTGTTTAGGGTGTCAGCCTGACCGCGGCACGGGAACGTGGGCAGCTCGTGTTCCTTGAGGGTCTTAAGTCTTCAGTGGACATCTTCTTCCAGACTGAGGAGCAGCCACACCCCCTGCAGTTCCTCAGGTCAGTCAGCCTGCAGCCCAGCCCAGAAGCACACACCTGGTAGGTGATTCCTTGTCCTCGGTGTGTGGGAGGACAGAACTGACTTCAGGAGCCAGATACGTCCCTGGTGTTGTAGCGTTACTGGAAAGCCCTTGCTCTCACCGTGGGCCAGAGGGTGCGTGGCTGTCCCAAAAGCTGTAGGAAGTGTTATTTGCTGAGAATATGGTAGAATGGTATGCTTTGCTGGTTTTTCCAGCCCTGGTTCAGAGCCTTAACACACACCTTTTTTCTGTTCTTGGCTTGATACGGGGATCAGCAAACTACAGGCCAAGGGCCAGCTACTTGTTTTTATAAACAAAGTTTTATTGGAATAGCTGTATTCATTTGTTCACATATTGTCCCTGGCTGTTTTGCACTGTGACAGCAGAGTTGAGCCTTTGAGACTGAGAACATATGACCCACAAGCCTAAAATACTGTTGGTCCTTTAACAGAAGTGTGCTGACCACTGGTTTGGTTTTCTGAGATTGGGTTTTTGCTTCTCGTCCTTTTTAAGCATTAGCCCCAAACAGAGTCCCCACCTGGCTGCTGTTCTTCCTGCACCCCAGAGGAGTCCATACAGGAAACTCCCCCCTCCCCCGTGCACTCTCTCAGATCAGCTTTGCGCGGTGGCGGGAGGCAGTGTGGAGTCAGAAGGCCATGTGCCCTGATCATGTGTGTGCCCTCACACACAGCTCTTTGCATCTTTGAACCTAGTGGCTTGGTGTGAATGATGGGCCTGGTTCCACCTGACCCCCAGTTGTCCTTGCTGTTAGTGGGGCAGTGGGTCAGGCGCCTGGGCCCTGTGTCTTGGTGCTTTTTGAGCCTGTTTCTAGGAAATGACCGCTGAGGGTAATCACTGGGGAGATGGAGGTATCTGGGCCAGCTTGTTCAGAAACAAGTTGCATCTGTTACACAAGAGGCCCTTAGAGCAGTGCCTCTCACCACCAGGACACCTGAACTGCTGTTTAGCTTTTTATACCCAGTTATGACCCCCTGGGGAGGCTTCTCCTGTCTGCCCTATCCAAATTAACCTTCCCGGTACCCTGAACTCTTGGATTGAGAGGCCGTGTGGTGACTCTGATGGCCTGGGAGGCTGTTGGTTTCTGTGCCCAGTTTGTAACACAGTACTTCGTGCCTAGCAGGGCTCAGGGAGTATTTGAATTGAAGTACAACTTATGTGTGTGCATGTGTCTTTTCTCGCCAATCGGTTGTGAACTGGGTGCCAAGGACTGTGATCCCGTTCTTTGCCTCCCCTAGCCCTTTCCCATGATGCTGCTCAGTCTAAGACAAACATTGTAGAGAGAGTGAACCCTCCGCTGACTTTTACCTGTGTCCCAGGGAGGCCAACACTAGCAACCTGCAGCCACTGTATGAGTTTGTGCAGGAGGCCCTGAAGCCCGTGGACCATGAGGAGGCTGCCTGGAGGTGCCCGGTACTGCTGGTGGATGACCTCAGTGTGCTGCTGAGCCTGGGCGTGAGGGCAGTGGCCGTGCTGGACTTCATCCACTACTGCAGAGCCACTGTGTGCTGCAAACTACAGGTACTGATGGGCCTGCTCCCCGGGCTCCTGCCTGACTGCTGAGGGCCCAGACAGGTCCAGCCCTCACTGATCTCTTCTGTGTAACTGCTTGGGGTTTGGGCTTTACTCTGGCAGGCCCAGAAATCTCTTGGTCCGCCCACCTTGCTCTTCTTTACTTGACATTGCTAAAAAAAATAATAATAATAATAATAATAAAGCCTTCAAAATTAAAGGGATGACGAGTACCTTCTTCAAATGGCTGGTCATGTGTGTGGTACCACATTGTCCCAGCCCTGCCACATTGCCTGTGTGCCCTGGGGCAAGTCATTGTCCCTCTGAGTGTGTTTAGAAGGTCAGTTGAGATAATGGGTATACATTGCTTTAAAAATTGTGAGGTACAGTGCAAGTATAGGTTGTAACCTTTATTGCTAAATTAGTAGGCAAAAATAGAGGTTTTGGCATAATAGAGATTTTAACAGTAACAGTAGAGCAACCTAAAAAACATTAAGTGGCTATGGTGCCTACCTCTCAGGAATCCGACTGCAAGAGGAAATTGAGATAAAGTTGGTACTTCCCACAGGTCTGCCCCACTGTGGCTGTTGCTCGGTGATGGGGCAGCTGGTAGGAACTGTGGACAGTGGCACAGTGTGGTCAGGCTGAGGGTGCACAGCAGGGGAGAAGGGAGCTTAGTGAGCTGGACGCACCCACCTAGAGTGCATTCTCAGCTCCTGTGTGCGAGGTGCCCCGGGGCTCTGTGTCTGGGAAGCTTCTGAGGCTCTCCTGGCCGCGGTCATGGGGCCAGGAGCCAGGTGCTGCGGAGAGCATGGAAGGGGCCCGGAGGACAAGGTCAGCGGGTTGGGGGCGAAAATGCAAGGGCCTTCTGCAGCTCAGCTTGCTCCATGGCCCATGGCCATCCTCCTTTTCTGAAAACATTTAGTTGAAAAGGTATAACTTGGAAGGGTTTAAAAAAGAAAAGGAGCCCTGGCCGGTTTGGCTCAGTGGTTAGAGCGTTGGCCTGCGGTCCTGAGAGACCCGGGTTCGGTTCCCGCTAAGGGCACGTACCTCGGTTGCAGTTTGTCCCCAGCCCTGGTCGGTTGTGCGGGTGGCAACCACTCGATGTGTCCCTTTCACATCGATGTTTCTCTCTCTCTCTCTGTTCCTCTCTCTCCCTCCCACTCTACCTGAACAAAAAATGGAAAAATGTCCTCGGGTGAGGATAAAAAAAAGAAAAAAAACTTTAAAAAAGAAAAGGAGAAGAAATACACAATATAAGGGGTACATTAGCACAAAGGAAGTGTCTCCCTCCAACGTAACCCTTCTAGAGAGTGTGCAGTTGTGAACACACCTACAGTTTGTGTACATTATAGGTGACCTGCCGTCGCACTGGTAGGTGGCACTTCATTTCCTAACTGTTTTGGTGCCCATTGCCCAGTAACGGAACACAGGGACCTGTTTCATTCTTTATAACAAGTGGACAGTATTCTTACGAAAGGGCTTCTTATTCACAATGTCCCCTTTTGATGGGATGGACCTTCCCCTCAGTTTCTGCTTGGCTGACTCCTAGTTGCCCTCTGACTGAGCCCAGGTGTGCCTAGCTCCTGACTCTCCTCCGGACTAGACAGGATACCTCTTCATGCTCCCCCAGCACCCATGCTGCCCCTCTCCTGGCTTTGTGTCCTGTATTGTCAGTAGCTGTGTGTCTCCAGGCCCACATCTGTCCGCCCTACTGAGGATCTAGCCCATGGTGAGCACCAGGGAACTGGGGTCTGCCATATGGCGGCACTTCTTAGTCGAATTAAAGAGGACCACAGGCTGAGCTTGGTTTTATTTTTATTTATTTTTTATCCTCACCCGAGGGCATTTTTCCATTTTTTGTTCAGAAAGAGTGGGAGGGGGGGAGAGAGAGAGAGAGAGAGAGAAACATCGACATGAAAGGGACACATTGAGTGGCTGCCACCTGTACTACCAACCAGGGCCGGGGACAACCTGCAACCGAGGCACGCGCCCTTAGTGGAAACCGAACCCGGGTCTCTCTGGACCACAGGCCGACGCTCTAACCGCTGAGCCAAACTGGCCAGGGCCAAGCTTGGTTTCAGATGACTCGAGCTGGAATTGCAGGTTGGATGTGCTGGTGATTGGATGTCCAGAGGGTGATTGGAGCCCAGCAGGGGTTCTTCCCACAAAGGGGGTGGTTGCAGCGGTGGTGGGGAGGCTGACCTGGGAGAGGGTGTGCAGGGTGTGGAGGCACAGAGAACACAGTGCCCTGATCCTGGTGTCCCTTCCAGTCAGGAGCAGGTTTTAGTCCTGTATCTCTCTTGCAGGGAAATATAGTGGCCCTTGTGCATGACAGTGGAGACGCCGAGGACGAGGAGAATGACATCCTGTTGAATGGCCTTAGTCACCAGAGCCACCTGGTCCTGCGGGCTGAGGGCCTAGCCACCGGCTTCTGCAGGGACGTGCATGGGCAGGTACGCAGGGGTGGGGCCAGGATGCTACTGGGCAACGGGCTGCTTCCATTTGTGCCTGAGTCTAGAGTCTAGACCTTGCATGGGATAGTGTCAGACTGAGGGCTTGTCGGCTTGGGGTGTCCCAGAGGCTGCTTAGCCCCGAGTACCTGTGTGGGTTTTCCACGGGGGGCCTATTTGTGACCAAAGTGGAACTTCCAAAGAAGTGGAATGCTGGGACCCCACTAGTAAACAGCAAAATTCCTTTGCAGGATGACAGCATGCCCTGTATATTCACGTCAACCCTGTTTCTTTTACAATCGAGACTCAGGCAGCCTTTCCTGTGGCTGGGGTTGCTGCCGCCCCCTCCTGTGCCTGCACAGTGTGGGGGGAGGGCACACCCAGGCGGAAGTGCAGGGCCTGCCCTGCGAGGGGGTCAGGTTCTACCCCCCAAGGGCTGCCGCAGTTCTGCCTTCTGAGACTTCTCTTTTGGACTCACCCTAAGCCTGCCCGCGGCTTTCAGTTCACTTCACGTCGATCACTCTTGACCCCGTAGGGTGGGTGGGATTTGGCCCAGAGTCACTCAGAGGCAGGTTTGGGAAAATAAAGCAGCACAGCAATGCTGTGTGGTGGTGCCTGTGGCTCAGGGTGAGGGAAGGTCCTGCTGGGCAGCTGTGGCCTGGCTCTGAAGCCACTCAGTCCCCCAGAGCATCTGGTCAGCCGAGACATCACCCAAACAAACACGCAGCCTTCCTGAGCCTCTGAATCGGATGTACAAATTGTAAGGTGTTGATTTTTGAAATTATTGCAGCCATTAAGTACTAAACCATGCATAGAAACAGGACCAAAGGGGGATCCATAAAAACACTCCAGTGGTTTTTCTCTGGGGACTTCTTTCTTCCTTTTCTGTGATGAGCATATATCACTTGTAATGGAGGGGAAACCTTTTTAGTTAGCTGGTAATAGCTTTGTTTTAAGTCGGTCCCATCACTGCATGGCACATGTGATCTCCTAGAGGCCCCAGTTGAAGGCCACGGAGGGGTCAGTGGGGTTCACAGTGGAACAGGTCCTTGGGAGAGGGGCGCTTCTTTTTTATTCTTCTCCCTGTCACCATAGCTGAGGATCCTGTGGCGGAGACCATCGCAGCCCACCCCCCAGAGGGATCGGAGCCTCACTTACCAGTACAAGATACAGGACAAGAGCGTGTCCTTTTTTGCCAAAGGAATGTCTCCTGCTGTTCTGTGACCTAAGGGGCAGACAGCGCTCTCTTGGGCTGTTCCGGAAGTGGAGAATGAAGCAACCAAGCAGGGACGGATCTTCACGCCTTTGTGGCGGTGTTTCAGGCTGCAGCGACTCGGGGATGTCGAGTGGAGCTGTGGCAGGTGCTTTGTCCCGGACCTTGTTCAGAAAGCACACGAGGAGCTCGCGACCCTGCCTCTGCTGAGAGAGACATTGAAGCTGCGTGAAAGGGGTCCTCTGGAGTCTTCCATGTAAATACACTTGTGCCTTTAGAGCCAGAGTGGGCATGAATGTGCCAGTCGGGACAGTCCTGGATGGCAGGTGTCCTAGGGGACAGATAGGGCAATCGTGGCTGGCATAAATTGAGTTCCCACATCGTGGTTTCCTGTGGGCTACCTTGTTTAGTTTTCGCCTTTATCTTGCAAAGGTGTTTTTCCTACGTCCAGTGAGGAAACAGGCTTGGCGAGATGTAGTAGCTCCAGGCTGTAGGGTAGGCTGTGGGGAGGAGGCCTGATTGAGGCCACACTGGCAGGCTGCCAGTGGAAGGTGAGATGGGCGCCCCACCCAGTTCACAGCTTGGGCCCCACCGGGTTCTGTGGTGCCTTGCCCACATTCTGATGAGACCCGGCCAGCAAGCACCTGGCACCCTGGAAGTGGTCGCCTGAGGCCTATGTAGGGCCCAGGTGTACATGGCCTTGGTGAGGGTATAAGAAATGTTTTTGCTGGCAGGATGGGGCCTTGGCAAGTAGCTGGTGCCTCCCTCACCTGTGAAGACCACAGGAGGTGAGCTGTTGCCCCATCATCCAGTAGATGCCAACTTGCCACACTCAGCCCCTCGGCCAGGGTCATCTCAATGGGACCAGGCCGATTCTCAAAGTGTATGTGAATTATATCACAGTGGATTTGATTTTTTAAATAAATAAAATGAAAGAAAAACACTGCTTTGCGGTGACTAGGAGAATTTGAATTGTTTTTTAGTTTTACTACATTTTCAGTCTTTGTGACAGGGACAGTTTATCACCCCCCTCTAATCATACTATTGTGTTGGTCTTCCCACTGAAACAGTAGCTGCTTTTCTTCTCAGAATACTGCAGGCCTGATGAATATTTGAAAATTATGAGTTTAAGTAACTTAAGAAAAAGTAGTTATTTAGGAATCTAATGACTTTTATTAATACTTCAGTATTACTACATGCTTCACAGGAGCTGCCGTTCTGAGTGGGCAAGGCAGCACAAAGCCTTTTCCATGTTATGAATGTTGCTATTTTGTTTCTTCACTTAATCCATAAATATTTTGACTAACTTTTTAACGTTTAATGTCTGTTCAGCATTTGGTGTCATTATATTCTAATTTGGTTAGCTTTTCTTTGAGCAAATCGGTTCTGGTTTTTGTAACTATAAGTGATGCTGTTATGAATTGTATATACTATACCTGTTTGGGAGTGGGGGCAAGTACTTGTTACCTTAGAACATTCATTCACTCAACAAATCCTCAACACCTTCAGTTTGGTGGACTGCTCCAGGTGCCAAGGCCACAACAGTGACAGGTCACAACAGTGACAAAAACAGGTGCCGGTCCTCCTGGAGGTGACATTCTTCTGGTGGAGACAAAGACAGTCAATAGAATTGAGAAATAATATATGTAGAGCTAGACTCTGAGAAGTGTGATACATAAAGCAGGGAGGGGACCTATGGAAAGCGAGTAATGACAAGTTTTAATTAGAGTCTGCTCCCTGAAGTGGGAGCTCCGACCTCACGCGTGGAGCCCTCGGGTGTTCTTCAGAACGATGGTCAGTTACCAGTGATCCGCAGTTTTCCTCCACCGGTCTTGGGTCTTTCCTAATTTTACAGTGGTGCAGTATTGTGTGAAAATGGACAATTTAAATGACCAGAATATAATTTTCTGTGTTTTCCCATGTGTATATAATCTGTTCCTCACCCCCAATCACTTAACAATTAAAATCTGGTGTCAGCCTTTTTATATGAATTCCTTATAGTTTAGAAAGTAAGATTTTATCATTGTCTTTGTATTTTCCTGCATTTTTATTTTTTAAAACTACTTTATCTTCAGAAACTTGACAAAAAGATATCCATGTATGCATTAGTTCAAGAAGTATTTGTAGAACACCTGTTTATATAAGGGGCTGTAAAGATAAAGACAATCCGAACTGCAGATTGATATTTGATGCTACTTCTGCATGGCCTCAGGCTAAGTTGTAAGCGGGGTGCTTCAGTTTTTCATCCTTAAAATGGGGTTTATCTTAGCTCCCTCTAGAATCTTTTTTTTTTTTTTTTGAATCCTCACCTGAGGACATTTTTCCATTTTTTATTCAGATAGAGCAGGAGGGAGAGAGAGGAAGTGAAAGAGGGAGAAACATCGATGTGAAGGGACACATCGAGTGGCTGCCACCCGCACAACCCAACCAGGGCTGGGGACAAACTGCAACCGAAGTACATGCCCTTAGTGGGAACCGAACCCGGGTCTCTCTAGACTGCAGGCCGACGCTCTAACTGCTGAACCAAACCGGCCAGGTCTATCTTAGATTCCCTCTAAAGGCCATGTGAGGATTGTGTGAGGCAATATATTGTAAAGCCCCACTCTGGCAAGGAGCCAACAGTCAATAGTTCTTCATTATTAATGGCTGCTAATATGACCCATAATAACCCTTCTGTTGCCTGTAAGGTTTTGTTTAAAGGTAGGTATACAATAAGACAACTTCTCTAGTTCAGGGAAACAACTTCTCTGACAGGTGGTAGACTTAATAGGTAATAAAGACGTTGAATAGCTATCACTACAACTTGGAGGTTTTAAATCTTTTTATTTATTTATTTATCCTCACCCGAGGACATTTTTCCATTTTTTTGTTCAGATAGACAGGAGGGAGAGAGAAGAAGTGAGAGAGGGAGAAACATTCATGTGAAAGGGACACATCGAGTGGTTGCCACCCACATGACCCAACCAGGGCCGGGGACAAACTCAACCGAGGTACGTGCCCTTAGCGGGAACCAAACCCAGGTCTCTCTGGACTGCAGGCTGATGCTCCAACCGCTGAGCCAAACCGGCCAGAGCAGTTTTAAATATTTTTAGCAACTGTATCATGGTTATTAGACTGGCTACTGTTTTTTGGAATCTCAGCATTTTACTAGTGTTCACATGGATTTAATTTTTTTTTGCAAAAATTGCAGAGATCTTGGAACCTGACTCCTAAGTTGAGGTCCCCTGAGGTTAAGTTAATTTTCTGGCCACAGGGCAGCTGCTGAGTGTTAGAACCAGGATTCAGATCTGAGAGTCTGGCCCTGAAGCAGCCGTTTCCACTGTATCATGTAGCCAACTGCTATCACTGATGTTTATTTCATGGTGAGCGTGATCATTAGTGCAAGCCATTGAAAAGATAGGCCTGTGTCATTATGAAACACCCTTTGTGTCTGTAACAGGCCAAGGTAGCTGGGCACTGGGTTGGAACCCAGAGTCCTGCATCCCAGACTGTGGCAACCACATCAGTTAGAGTGATGTTGGGTAAATCTCTTACCCTCTTAAGAAGTTTTCTTCATTTGTGAAATAGATCCTGCCCCTTCTTTCCAAGATTTTCATGAGGACTGGCCCAGTGTAGAAGCTTAAGTGTGGGGAATTATCACTTCTTTATGAACCCTAAGGTCCATTTAGTTTTTAAAATGTTTTAATGTATCACTCGATGGTAAGCAATTTGAAGTAAGGTTGAGCTTTGCTAATGACACGAAGAATAATCTGAGATTCCTAAATTACAGCAGGCTGGAGGGTGGAAGGAAGAGACAAGAGAGGTTAATGAGTTAACAACTGGAGAGCAAAACAGCAGATGCCTGTTTACATTCCTGAGTGTATGTTGAAACTGAATTAACTTCCAGTGACTATTTCCCAGTTATCTGAAGAGAATAGCCAGGCGTCCGGCCACCAAGCACCTCTGGTTCTTTCTTATGAATGAATTTTCCAGACTGTTGTTTCCAGTTTGCCCACAACCAATCCTAAAGAACAAACACCTCTTCCTTAGGGACTCTGCACCTATCCCAGAACTAGCCCAGCTTCAATTCTTCCGCCTCCCTTATCTGTAAATTCTTTCAAAACAACTTACATCTTTTGCCCTGGCCAGTTTATCTCAGAGGTTAGAGCATCAGCCCACAGACCAAAGAGTCACAGGTTCGACTGTGGTCAAGGGCATGTACCTCGGTTGCATTTTGTCCCTGGCCCTGGTCGGGGTCGTACGGGAGGCAACCAATTGATGTGATTCACGTAGATGTTTCTCTCTTTCTCTTCCTCCCTCCCTCCATCCCACTTTATCTGAAGATAAATGGAAAAATAACCTCGGGTGAGGATTAAAAAAAACAAAAACTTACATCTTTCTTTCCTGAGTTGTTTGCATAAAAGAGCCCATCAACCCCAGGATTCCAAACACTTGCCATCTCTACCCAGCTCTGCTGCTGGTGGTTTAGACTTAATGCCCCAGGGCCTGGTCTTTTTCTGGCTAGTACATGGGTCAGTAAACCCTTTCAGAGGTTTTTGGTTTAACACTAGTTAGGGCTAAGTGGAGCTGTTCCACTTAAGTTATATTTAAAAACTAAGATCAGGTACTTGCAACTTACCTGGAAATGTGTGACAAATAAGATGTATTGATAGGTGGATAAAGTGATAGATAACATTTTTTAAAAAGATAATATACTAAGCAAAATATTGAAGTTGTAGAATCTAGGATGTATAGTTAACTATGGTTCTTTCAACTGTTCCTTATGCTTTTATCCTAAGATGTTGGGGGAGGAGCCCTAAAATCATGACCACTTCATTCTACTCATGGGGGTCATTCTGTAGCATGTTCACCAGGTCTCGTGAGCCTCAGCTCCCCCCAGGGCCTCCATCTTTCTCCTCATGCAGTGGAGGACTCTCCTGTGCTGCCAGAGAGAGAGCATTTAGATAGTGTCAGTTTTGAAGGCGCTTGTTTTTTTGGAGGAAAGTGTCAGTCCCCTACAGACATTTGGTGGAGTGGTTGGGTGGGAAGGAGTGGTGAATAACCTGTGACAGCGGTGTCCAAAAAATGGCCTGGCAAAGCCCCTGCCGTGGAAGTTGTGAAAAGACAGGCCACCTCTGGAGAGAAGGCTTTGGTTCAGTGGGCCTACAGTAGGGCTCAGGAAGGCTCTGATGGAACTAAATATTCCCCAGGTGATTCTGCTGTGAGGCAGATTTGGAACCACATTCTTTGTAGGAACTTGACAGTAAAAGGAAGGGATTTGGACTTGGTCATGCAGGTTCACTCAGAAAACGGAAAAAAAAAAAAAAAAAAAAAACTGGGTAGACTTTACATTTGCAGAAAGGACTAAGGCAGTAGAGGGTAGGGAGGAGAGGTTAACAAGTGAATCCCCTTTGCCCAAGGTTTCTGAGGGGTCAGGTGTCAGTGTTTCAAGGGATCTGGCTTGGAGAAGTGATGTGAGATGGGGGAGGGGTGTAAACAACCTCTCCCCCCCCCCCCCTTCATTCTGTTGACTCTTTAAAAATAACACAAAGGCCCTGGCCGGTTTGGCGCAGCGGTTGGAGCGTCGGCCTGCGGTACAGAGAGACCCGGGTTCGGTTCCCACTAAGGGCACGTACCTCGGTTGCAGTTTGTCCCCGGCCCTGGTTGGTCGTGCGGGTGGCAGCCACTCAATGTGTCCCTTCACATCGATGTTTCTCTCTCTCTCTCTTCCTCTCTCTCCCTCCCGCTCTATCTGAACAAAAAATGGAAAAATGTCCTCTGGTGAGGATAAAAAATAAAAAATAAAAATAACACAAAGAATTTCTCCTTTATAGAAAAAAAGTCTAATCCAAAAGCCAGTCCTGAATACAGGGTATAATCTTAAAGGTCATTTTGGATCCAGGCCAACTGTCCCCACTATTGTTTAATTTCACAGTGACAGTGTGGTGGGCAGGGAGGGAGGCAAGACTGGCGGCCTGGAAGAGGTGGTCCAGAGTCCAGTGGGAACGGGTGAGGGAGGGTGTGTGACTCTGAGGAACACCTAAGAGGGACGAGGTGGCTAGAGCTGCCAGAAAGGCCACCTGTGGTTTCCTCCCGGCTTACGCATTTCATGCAACCCCTGTGCTGTGCCCTTGGGAGCAGGAACAGGGCCGAACACCTTGGCTCTAGGTAGCCCTGGGGTGGGTGCCCAGGGGAGCAGTAGGAGTGACTCCTGACACTCCCGACCTCATCTTTGAGTGCGGTGTCATCAAACTGTCCATGTGCTGGCCCACGGGCAGTTGAAATGGGCAACATCCTGAGATGGGCCGGTGCCCCCAGAGCGTTCAAAGCCTCCCCTTTGTCTTGTATGAGACCTAGAAACGGGACCTACCCGGGGTTTTCGGGAAGGTCAAAGCCGAGCACGTGTGCAAAGCGCTCAGCCCAGCACCTGACACAGAGTAAACGCCCTGTGGATGTAGCTATCACAACAAATGCTTGTTCCATGTAGAAAATGGTTTAATGTCCATCAGCAAATGCAAAAAACCCAACACCTGTAATCCTCTACCCGGAGATACCCACACCCGGAGATATCTGCAGATGACACAGCGGTATCACCCTAGACCCTCTTCCTCGGACTGTTTTTAACAAAAGTTGAGAGCATACTCTACAGCTCCTTCTGAACCATCTTTTTTTGTTGTTAGTCCTCACCTGAGGTGGTTTTTCCATTGATATTTTAGATAGAGTGGAAGGGAGGGAGGGAGAAACATCAATGAGAGAGAGACACATGAACTGGCTGCTTCCAGCAGGACCCCAACCAGGTTGGAATGGAACCTGCAACCGAGGTACATGCTCTTGAATCGAACTCGTGATCCTTTGGTTTGCAGGCCAAGGCTCTGACCACTGACTCAAAACGGTCAGGACTTGAACCATCTTTTAAAAGGCTGTAGGGAAAGTCGTTTTATGGACATGATTTATTCGACCCGTCTGCATGTGTTGTGCATCTCGGTTGCTTTTAATTTTTTGCTGTTATATAACAGGGATCGTGGGCATCTTTGTTCCTGTTGTTGATAACTCTCCGGAAGGGGCTGTCAAAAGCCCTGGTGCGGTCCTTAGCTGCACGCACGCTCCGCCTAGGCTCGCCACCGCTCCCTTCCTCCGTGTTGCGTGGCCGGCGCCCGCCAGGGGGCGGGCGAGAGCGGTGGCGGGGCTCGATTACGCATGCGCGGGCCGCTGGGAACACGTGTGGAGGGCGGTGGGGCGGGAGGGGAAAGGTAGAAGGTGAGAGGTGAAGGGGCGGGGAGCTGCGTGGGCGCCTGGCGGCCGGGAGATTGAGGGCGGGCGCCACGCACCGGACCGACCGTGGGCCAAGCGCGGGCCCGCCACGCCCCGCCTTCGCCGCCGCCGCCGGGGAGCAGCTGCCGCCACAGGTACCACCGCGCGCGTCCCCACAGCGCCTGCTCGCGGGCCCCGGCTCCGGCCTCCCGCCGCGCGGCCCCGGGAGTTCCGGGATGGGGGCCGCCTCGGGCGCGGGCGCGCGGGCGTGGGCGCTGTCCAGCAGCTGTGCCGCCCAGGCTCGGAGACCGCAGCCTGGAGAGGGGGCTGGGTCGCCGTGTACCCGCCACCCCGCCCCGCCCCCGCCCGAGCGAGCCGCCTGCCCCCGCCCCATCCTCTGGTCCCCAGTGACCGCTGCCGGGAGAGGGGTCGCGCCGCTGCGCCCCCGGCCCCAGCGGCCCCGGGAAGCTGTCGGTTCTAGAACCTGCTTTGGGGCTGAGTTTCCAGAGTGCGGGGGAGAGCGCGCTGTTTACTTCTCCCTCTTTTGGAAGACCTGAGTGAGGGGCACCACGTAGCTTGGGTGGGTTTTGCTTGGTTTCTAGTTTTTTGCTTTGCCCAAACCTCAACTTTTCTCACTAGCGTTGCCTCTGTTTACTCCTAGGTGTGTTGATTGTCTCTCTGTGTCAAACAGGATTATAATGTCAGGGTAGCATTAGTTGCCGGGAGCTCTGGGTCCAGACTGACTCGTAGGACGTGTGCAGGTGGAGGTCCTGCTGGCGGGACAGGGAGTCCCAGTGAGGGCTCTGGCAGGAGTTTCCCCTAGTTCGGGCCACCGATTGCCCCACCTTCTGTGGTGACAATTAGGGCTTCGTAACTAAACTCTTTCCGGAGATTTTGTAATAATTCTTGTGAAGAGGGTGTAGAAAGGTATCTTTAATGATGTTAGCTGAGGGTGTGTTTTTATTTATGTAACCAAACGTGTGGCGGTTTGGTTATGCCGCGTCCTTATTGATGTGCTGCCATCTCAGTATGTTGTGCTGAAGGTTGAGGCTTTCCTAGGAGAGTCAGGGTCAGGGATGTCTTGTTAGTGCTGAGTACGTTTTAGGTGTTTCTGAATAATGCCTAATTGACGACCTGTAATTTTTTTTTACATGTATACTAATACAGTTTAGGTTTTAAGTGTTTTTACACATTTGTAGCATTCCCACTGGGCACACGATGCAAAAAATAAATAAAAAAATATGTGTAAATATATCTCTGCATTCATTCTTTTGATCATAGATTGAAGTTGAAAGAATTAGGTCTCAGGAACTAATCTGATGTTTGAGAGCTCTCTCTCTCGTTGTTACAGAAACAGCATCTCTCTACTTCATAATAGCTGGCGTAGGATTCCCCCCCTACCCCAATTATCTAGTTTACTGTTGGAAGGTGGGTAAAACATCTATCTGTTCCTAGTTCATGACTAGAAAATGGAGGCATAAAGGTTGCCAATTGCGTTATGTTGTGTATGAGCAAATGAACTGTCCAGCTGGGAAACAAGCCATACTTGTGGATTCAGTACACATGCATTTCTTTTTCTTTTTTTAAATCCTCACCCAAGGACATTTTTTGATATTTTATTCAGATAGAGTGGGAGGGAGAGAAAGAGAGAAACATCAATGTGAAAGGGACACATCAAGTGGTTGCCACCTACACGGCCCAACCAGGGCCGGGGGCAAACTGCAACCGAGGTACGTGCCCTTGGCGGAAACTGAACCCGGGTCTCTCCGGACCACAGGCCGACGTTCTAACCGCTGAGCCAAACCGGCCAGGGCCACATGCATTTCTTCTTTTTTTTTTAATCCTCACCCGAGGACATTTTTCCATTTTTTATTCAGATAGAGTGGGAGGGAGAGAGAGGAAGAGAGAGACAGAGAAACATCGATGTGAAAGGGACACACTGAGTAGCTGCCTCCTGCACGCACGACCCAGCTAGGGCCAGGGATAAACTGCAACCAAGGTACATGCCTCTCGCAGGAACTGAACCCGGGCCTCTCTGGACCGCAGGCCGACACTCTAACCGCTGAGCCAAACCGGCCAGGGCACACATGCATTTCTTAACGTTTGGAGATAGACTTTAGGGAGGCCTACTCTCTTAGTATTTAGCCATGCATGTGAATGTGGTCTAAAGACCCTAAATGACACTTAGTTTTATGTGCTGTTTGCTTATCCTCACCATTGTGGGCTATTTGCTGGCCACCAGTATTAGTTTAACTGGCTCTGACGGGTACTTCACATATGGTTTGTCATCACTGTCATTGAACAGATGAGAAGCTTGCCCCTCAGCGAGAAACTGGGCTCCCAGAGTCACCCAGCTTGTAAGGGGTAGATCAGGCCTTCAAACCAGATCTGATGGACTCTACCACCTGAACTACTTCCACTCTAATCTGCTTCCTTCCTGTGTTAGCCGATGAAACAAAGTCCAGGTAACTTCTTTAGCCACCTGAAATAATGATTTTGGGTAAACTATTTATTGAGCACTTGCATTGTGTAGGTATTGTGCTAGGTGCTCTAATAATAGCTTATCTCAATCATAATAACCAGGTGAGCTGATACTGTTACTGCCCTCTGTACTGATGAGTTTGAGAGATGTTATTTGACAGGCCCTGAGTCACCTGGTGAGTTAGAGGCATAGATCCAGGTTTGTCTGACAACAGAGTTGATGCTCTTATGCTGTTTGCATCTGCTGGCTTCATAGTTGTCACCGTTGTCCATTGGCAGGTGAGAGGCAGCAGCAGGTGATGAGGTGTAAAGGAAAGAAGGCAGCATCACCGACTTGTGTCGGAGATGGTGGAACTGAGCAGGAAGGAGATAGCAATTTGGCCACTGCTTGCAGCATCGTTAGGCCATACATAAGCTTTGCAGTGGAGTTTAAGCATAAGCCAGTGTGCGTGTGTTTAAGCATAAAGAGTGCGCATGGGTCTTAGAAAAAAAAATTAAAAATGACTTTCATGTTTTTATCAGCCATACTGAATTTTTACTATATATTTTATAATGTACACATATAGTATCATAGTAGTACATGTATAATTTATATATATATGTGTGCTCCTGAAGTGAGCACTATAATTTATATATAAATATACATATATTGGGGATGTGTACTCAGATTTTTGTTATTGGGGATTCATAATAAAAAACTTCTGGAAACCACTGGTTTATTTGATATTTAGCAATTCCTAAATGCATAAATTATGTAAGGTGTTATGTTAAACATTTGTTTCTGATTTGGAAATCTAGTGGTCTGTGTAATTCCACGTAATCAGAGAAAATGGTATTTCATATTAATAACCAAGTGTAAGTTATTTTAAAATTGCAGTCATGAGTGTGAATGAGGATTTGATATCTCAATAGTCTTTATGTCTCAAATACAGCACCAGTCTTAAGTTTGAAGCTACAGTGACTGATAAAGCCCTTTGGAAGTTGAAATTTTTTTGGACCTTTTTTAAACATGCTAATTTTAATAAGCCAATGAGACTAAAATGATCAGTTCACATAAATAAAGCAGTTGTAATAGTCATATTTGTGCTATTCCTCAAGTTTAGAGTATTTTTAAATAATCTAAATATTGAAATTACAAATACGGTGATTCCTTATCACTTTTTACAAACTAGATGTGATTTTTTTTCAGTTTATTCCACTCTAGTGGTTGGTACATTATCTCAAAATGGAGCAGTTCCAGAATTCTACCTAATTAAAAAAATATCTTTACCATTTGCCTGCTTGTTGTTTCATAATTGAATGGATTAGTATTTGTTCAGGGTTTAGGTTAAAATAACAGTTGGTTTTGAGAAATAAATACATTGTACTTACTAGACAAGCTATTTTTACCTAGGTGAGGCATCATTACTTATACTAGTGGTTCTCAAACCTTAGCATTAATCACAATCACCTAGAGTGCTTGTTCTAACCCCACCTCCAAAGTTACAATTCTGTAAGTCAGAGGTAGGCCCCAATATTGAAATTTCAAACAAATTACCAGGTGCTGCTGCTGCTAGAATGGGAAACTATACTTTGAGAGCCAAGGTTCCTTACAAATGCACCTAAACCAGAACATGATACCAGTAACCTACATGTTTCACACTGAACCCCATCAGCATCAGTCAGTCTTACAGTATGGTTTTGCCAGGTATATCCCTTATTTTTTTGAGACCATAATTAAAATTGCATTTTCAGTTATAGTGTGATTTCTACTCTTTTCCTGCAATTCCATATTTCTAAATTTCTTGAAGGATTAGAGTTTGTTTGTTTTTTTTGCTTTTTTTAAAATACAAGTCATCCACGTTGAAGAAAAATTAATAGACACACACACTTAAATTGTCAGCAATCTCAGCACATTCTTTTCAGGCTTCTTTCTTGCTCATTCTCTTGCTCTCTCTTTCTCTTTGTAATGGTATCATACTGTTTTGTATTTATTTTCTTTAAAAACAATTTTTTTTCTCTATTGATTTTAGAGAGAGAGGAAGTGAGAGAAACATCGATGAAAGAGAACATTGATTGGCGGCCTCCTGCATGCCCCACACTGGGGATTGGGCCCCCAACCTGGGCATGTGTCCTGACTGGGAATCGAACTGGCGACCTCTTGGTGCATGGGTTGACGCTCAACCACTGAGCCACACCAGCCGGACTTGTATTTATTTTCTGTGTTACTATGTGAACATCTTTTTGTCGTTGTTAATCCTCACTGGAGGATATTTTTCCATTGATTTTTAGATAGAGTGGAAGGGAAGGAGGGAGGGAGAGAGAGAGAAACATTGATGTGAGAGAGCTACATTGATGTGAGAGCTACATCGATTGGTTGCCTCCCACACTATCCCAACTGGGGCTGGGGATCAAACCTGCAACCCAGGTTCATGCCCTTGACAGGGAATTGAACCCTTGACCCTTCAGTTTGAGGGCTGACACTCTTAACTGCTGAACCAGATTGGTCAGAGCTGTGTGAACATCTTTTCATGTAAAAAACTATTCTACAACTTTTTTGTTTTTTAAAACATAAAACCTCATTTATTTTTATGTTTTCCAATAACTTTCTCCTTTGAACAGCCTTGTTTGCCCTTGCTTGCTGTATTTGGCTGTGAGCTTGGGTTGTACCTTTCACAGGACTACTTACTGTTAA